GCATGTTTATTGGTGTTGGCGAGTTATTCATTTTTTGTTTTTGTTTTTCTGAGAGACGGAATCTTGCTCTGTCTCTGAGGCTGAAGTGCAGTGGCATAATCCCGGCTCACTGCAACCTCTACCTGCCTTGTTCAAGCGATTCTCCTGCCTCAGCTTTCCAAGTAGCTAGGACTACAGGCATGTGCCACCACACCCAGCTAATTTTTGTATTTTTTAGTAGAGACAGAGTTTCACTATATGTTGGCCAGGCTGGTCTGGAACTCCTGACCTCAGGTGATCTGCCTGCCTCAGCCTCCCAAAGTGCTGGGAGTACAGGCGCAAGCCACTGTGCCTGGCCGAGTTACCAGTTTTTGAATAGGAAGTACCATAGTCGCTTTCTTTGCTGCGTCTACTGCAAGAATGAAGACGATTCTCAGCAATCAGACTGTCGACATTCCAGAAAATGTCGACATTACTCTGAAGGGACGCACAGTTATCGTGAAGGGCCCCAGAGGAACCCTGCAGAGGGACTTCAATCACATCAATGTAGAACTCAGTCTTCTTGGAAAGAAAAAAAAGAGGCTTCGGGTTGACAAATGGTGGGGTAACAGAAAGGAACTGGCTACCGTTCGGACTATTTGTAGTCATGTACAGAACATGATCAAGGGTGTTACACTGGGTTTCCGTTACAAGATGAGGTCTGTATATGCTCACTTCCCCATCAACGTCGTTATCCAGGAGAATGGGTCTCTTGTTGAAATCCGAAATTTCTTGGGTGAAAAATACATCCGCAGGGTTCGGATGAGACCAGGGGTTGCTTGTTCAGTATCTCAAGCCCAGAAAGATGAATTAATCCTTGAAGGAAATGACATTGAACTTGTTTCAAATTCAGCGGCTTTGATTCAGCAAGCCACAACAGTTAAAAACAAGGATATCAGGAAATTTTTGGATGGTATCTATGTCTCTGAAAAAGGAACTGTTCAGCAGGCTGATAAATAAGATCTAAGAGTTATTCAGCTACAGAAAGAAGATGCCAGATGACTCCTAAGACCTACTTGTGATATTTTAATGATGCAATAAAAGACCTGTTGATTTGGGAAAAAAAAAAAAAAAAAAAAGAAGTACCATAGTCAGCACTGGGAACCTGTAGGAGTATGGAGGATAGATTGGAGACAGCAACTGGGAGACTTTTGTCACAGCTCAGGCAAGTCGAAACAGAGCCTGAACCCAGCTGGGGAGGGTTGGCAGGCATGAGAAAGAACATAGGCGCAGGCTGTGCAGATCCTGGGGAGAGACTTGCTTGGACTTCTTGAGATACTTTAAGCAAGAGACTGACATTTAGTGCCTGAAACCCAGAGCAAGGAACACAAGAAGCTGGTGTTTGACTTTGACCAAACCCTAAATTCAGACCAGTCCCATTTCAATCCTTTTAGAACTGCTGATCCTGAGTCCTGGTAGGCAACTCAAGATTCAGGTAGACCAGTACGGCCAGGCGCTAGACACAGCTGTGAACAGCAAAAGCACTCCGGAATGTTACAGAGTGGATTTCCAGCTGCGGTTGTAACATAGCTGAGTGGCAGATTAGCTTCTCAGCGCTTCTGTTTCCTCACTTGGTAAACCCTCACCCTGTTGAGTAAGTTGAATTAACAGATTAGGAAGCTGGAAGCTGTCAGGCTCTGCCTAGAGCCCAGTGACCTAGAGGCTTTCTTCTAACCTGGACTGTTAGTAGGGAATCGGGTCGATATGAGTTTGGGGCCTAGGAATACTTTTGTACTTTTTTGTTTGTTTGTTTTTAAACATTGTCAAGTCTAGTAGTGAGAAGGAGAGAAAGATTAGAACAAGGAGTTTAAGCACTTAAAACATCCCAACTCTGTCCTTTCTCTGCAGCACCCTCATCACATGTGTGGATTCTGGGATTCTCAGAGTCTGGCATGACAATGACAAGAACACATCCTCTGACCCAGTGAGGCTTCCCTGCCCTGATGGTTGGGGGAGGGGGGCTGGGGTAGGTGCCTAATGATCATGTTGGGGAAGGGAGGATTAAGAACTCTGGAACGAACTCTTATCTCCCATTCTTTTTAGCTCCTGGAACTGAGAGTGGGCCCTGGGGTGTGTAGGATGCGCCAAGACCCAGCACACCCCCATGTGGTTGCCACAGGTGGGAAAGAGAATGCTTTGAAGATGTGGGACCTGCAGGGCTCTGAGGAACCTGTATTCAGGGCCAAGAACGTGAGTGACAAGAGTGTGAAGGTGCTGTTCCTGAAGTTGAGGGAGGCTGTGGCCACTGACTATGCGTCAGAGACTAGATGGGCTTTAGGGGGCGAAGGAGGGCTGAAAGGAGGAGCACATCAAGCCCCCCACAGCCCTGTTCCCCATCTGCCCACCCCACCAGGTGCGGAATGACTGGCTGGACCTGCGGGTTCCCATCTGGGACCAGGACATACAGTTTCTCCCAGGATCACAGAAGCTTGTCACCTGCACAGGGTACCACCAGGTAAGGTGTCGTCTCCACCCTACCTTCTCCTGGGATAAAGCAGCCTTCTGAAGAAATGGCCCCCACGGTTTGGCACAACTGCCTTTCTCACCATTCTGAGCTCAAAGGAGCAAGCGCGTCCCCATCTGTTCCAACCCTGTCCCTGAGCCCATGACTGTCCTCTGCTGCATTCTAGGGTGGAGTTTCCTGAACTGTGCTGTTTTCCTCCCACCTGGAAGAGAGGAGAGGACAGTGGATCCCCTTCACTGTGGGAGTTATAGGGTGCAGGTGTCAGAGGACATTGGGCTAGGGGTTAAGAGAACTGGGTTCTGGTCCTGATGCAGCCTCTCTGATTTGCTTTGGGACTGAGGCCTGAGCCTCCCATCTCTGGCTTCAGCTCCTCAGCTCCTCAGCTTTATATGAAGGCCCCAAATGAGAAATCTTTAAGGCTGTCTCATTTGAGGTCTTGAGACACGGGTAGGGCTGGGTCACTGTATTTGTCCTGTTTTCTTTGCTTTCTGCACATTGAAGTCTGATCTTGGTCATACGCCTTTGCTCAAAACACATATGAGGGCATCCTCTTTCCTCCTTCATTCAGGCTAACCTCTGCTTGAAATTTAGCACCCACTGACTACTAGACTGACTTGCTTTTCCATCCCTCCATTTCCCCTAGATGGGAGTATGGGAGGATGGAATGCTCACACACTTCAAACCTAGGAGACCTCTCCCCTCAGCTCTGTCCATTTATGCTGCTAAGCAGCTCTTCTGACACCCTGATGCTCAGAAGAGGCATACATCTAAGATGAGAAAGCTTCTGACAGTGGATCATAAATAAGAGAGCGGTGTGCAGGGAGCGGGTGAGGATGCAGAGATGCCAGAGGGTAGGTGCAGGGTGAGGATACTTTCATGATGCTTCAGCCTTCCTCTAGGTTCGTGTCTATGATCCAGCATCCCCCCAGCGCCGGCCAGTCCTAGAGACCACCTATGGAGAGTACCCACTGACAGCCATGACCCTCACTCCGGGAGGCAAGTGAGTGTTTAGAGGGGAAGGGGTGGGAGGGTGGGGCTTGGGAAGGGCTCCAGGAGGTTACTGCTGACTCCGCTTGCCTCTGGTCTCATCCTCAGCTCAGTGATTGTGGGAAACACTCATGGGCAGCTGGCAGAAATTGACCTCCGGCAAGGTGAGTGGACTAGGGTATGTTGGGGGGAAAGGAAGGAGCAGGGAGAAGGGTAAGGATTCCCTCTAAGGCAGTGCAGTGGGGCCAGTGAGGCCTCATTCAGGTGCCAGATTGCCTGGGTTCAAATCCTGGTTTCCTCAAAAGCTGTATGACCTTAAACTATTTCAACTCCCTGTGCCGTAATTTCCTCACCTGCGAAATGGAAATATTAGTAGAAGCTCCAGTCTCAGGGTTTTGTTGCAGATTAAATGTTGAAATGGAAAGTGATTGGAACAGGAAACAATGAATGGTTGGTTATTGGCCAGCCAGTTATCACGGATGCTTCCCCCCTTCTCTAGGGCGTCTACTGGGCTGTCTGAAGGGGCTGGCAGGCAGTGTCCGTGGGTTGCAGTGCCACCCTTCAAAGCCTCTACTGGCTTCCTGTGGCTTGGACAGAGTCTTGAGGATACACAGGATCCAGAATCCACGGGGTCTGGAGCATAAGGTAAGTCGTCTCTCCCACCCCAAACTCATGGTCTTGTGGAGGCTCCGTCTCCTTTGTCCCCTTTCATGTTTCTGTCTCAGCGTGCCTGGCTCCTTAAGGTCCTTCATCTTTTGCAGGTTTATCTCAAGTCTCAATTGAACTGCCTCCTCCTGTCAGGCAGGGACAACTGGGAGGTGAGCAGTTGGGTCTGGGAATGTGGGAGCTAAGGGCATAGATGTGAGGATCTCCCTATGAAGAGGAAAAGGAGGCAGCTGGAATGCAGACCTGGGACTATCTGTTTACCTGCCTGGTCACTTAATTTCTCTGAGAGGCATTAACAGTTAAAATCCTGAGGGTTATTGCCAAGAGCATGGATTGGGTTGCTTTCTGGGAGCAGGGAATAAAGGTGGTGATACCCAGAGGGATTATTTCTCAGCCAGGGTCTCCTTCCCTGTGGGTTTGTCCCTGTGCCCCTGACTACTTTTTCTTTTTTTTTTTAACTTCTTTTTGTGGAGATGGGGTCTCCTATGTTGCCCAGTCTGGTCGCTAAGTCCTGGGCTCAAGCAATCCTCCTGCCTTGGTCTCCCAAAGTGCTGAGATTACAGGTGGGAGCTACCATGCCCAGTCCCCCTGACTCCTACACTTTCTTCCCACTCACCAGGATGAGCCCCAAGAGCCTCAAGAACCCAACAAGGTGCCCCTAGAAGACACAGAGACAGACGAACTTTGGGCATCCTTGGAGGCAGCTGCCAAGCGGAAGCTCTCGGATTTGGAGCAGACCCAAGGAGCTCTCCAAACCAGACGGAGAAAGAAGAAGCGGCCTGGGTCCACCAGCCCCTGACGCTCCTGTGCCTGCCCACTTTGTAAATAAACAGCTGAACATCCACCATGACCCTGAGCCTTTTGTGATGGGCGAAAGGAATGAGGGGTAGCTTGGGGTGGGGGCTCCCTGAGCTGGGGCGACGGGATATCTGATGTCACAAAAGCCGGGCCTGGAGGCAGGTAGGCTGGCGTGGGTGGCAGGGAGTCCGGGGCCCCGCGGGGCCATGGGCTGCTGCCAAGACAAGGACTTTGAGATGTCGGATGAGCAGTCCAAGGAGGCAGAGTCTGAGGACGTCAGGGAAGATGGGACCAGAGGCACACACAGAGGGCCCAGGGAGTGTGAGAAGGGGCTTCCCGAGGGTAGGGGTGAGCTCAGAGGCCTCGTCGCCTCAGGCGCCGAAGGTATCGACTTGAACTCCCCGGACCATCGGAATCATAAGTCGAACGAAAGCCTTCTGATCACCGTGCTGTGGCGGCGACTATCCATGTTCAGTCGTCGGGGCTCCTCGCGGTCAAGCAAGAGACAATCAGACCAGATTCGGTCATCAATGTTCAGTGGTCGGGGCTCCTTGCCGTCAAGCAAGAGACAATCAGACCAGATTAGGTCATCAATGTTCAGCGGTCGGGACTCCTTGCCGTCAAGCAAGAGGCAATCAGATCAGACTCGGAAACAGGAGCGTCCGATCCGAGAAGGCAACCAGGAGGAGCCGGAGAAGGGATGACCCCAGACCTGCTCTTAGTCCGCCCCAACCTCCAGAGAATAAAATTTCTAACGTGTACCTGCACCACCACTCTGGGAAACGGGCGCGGACACCGCCGGGCAGCTGGTTCTTTAAGGCTCCTCCCCGGAGGCGGGCCCAGCCCCCTGGGCTCCCGCTGTAGTACTCCGGGGCGGGGTCACGGCAGCGCCTTAGCCAATGGGAGGGGGGGTCGCTCTTGCGTTTAGATGTGGGGCGTGTCTTTCCGGTCGCCTGGCTGGAAAATGCGTGGGACCGCCCCCTCGTCACCGGGGGTGGGGTTACGTGTAGGTGACGTGGCCGCTTCCAGTCTGGTCGGGTTTCGGCGGCCTCAGTGCCCAGGGAGGAGGCAGTGACGGCCGGGGAGATTGGTAGTGGCGGCGGCGGCAGGCAGCGGAGGGGAGGTAAGACTTGCTCTAAGAGGGGGTCTGGCCACCGTGTCAGCTCTGGGGCAGTGGTTTTACAGGGGCGACGACTGGCAGGGGGAAGGGAACCAGGGGCAAGCAGGCAAGTCCTGCCGGCCCGGCTCCTAGTGAGCGAATTCCTTGCCGTCCAATCAGGAAAGCCTCTGTTGAGAGAGACGTCGGCATTAGCTAATGAGTGGTTGAAGTCTTCCAGAAGGCGGACCTTGGGCGGGGGGTGGGACTTCCTGTTTCAAATAAACACCCAGAGGTTTCCCCCTCCGCCCACCGAAGTGTGTCAGTCTTTGGAGGTCCGTCACCGGCCCCCCCCCCGAGGGGCCGAAGGAAACCACGGAAACGAAGGGACTGGGTTAGGGCCCGGGGCAGTTACACGGGCCGGGCCGCAGTCTGAGGGCCACGGGACTTGGCTCTGGCCCTGTCTCTGCTTCAGGGCCCCCGGCCCGCGCTCTGGCCGCCGGAGCCAAGTTGGAAGAAGAGTCTGAAGCGGGTTCGACTTGGGACAGGGGAAAAGCAGAGCCCTTTCCGCTGCTGGCCCGCCCCAGGATCTGCGAGCGTCTTGGGCGCGAAAGTCCATGAGAAGTGCGGAAGGGGCTCGAGGATTTGTTGATTGGGGTGGGGCGGGGGAGTTTGGGGAAAGAAGCTGCCTGGGGAATGACACTCTCCCCTCCACAACAGTCCGAGGTTATGCGTCTCAATGATCCCGCGGAAACGCTACGGGTCTAAGAACACGGATCAGGGTGTCTACCTGGGTCTCTCAAAGACACAGGTCCTGTCCCCTGCACCTGCTGGCAGTAGCAGCAGCGACATCGCCCCTCTGCCCCCCCCAGTGGCCCTCGTCCCTCCCCCTCCCGACACCATGTCCTGCCGGGATCGGACCCAGGAGTTTCTGTCTGCCTGCAAGTCGCTGCAGACCCGTCAGGTAAGGACCTGGAGTGGAAAAGGCGAGGAGTGAGCCATACTCAAATCTAGGAAGGACTGTGCTCCACCACTGTTAACTGAAGTAATTCTTGGGGGTACCTGATGGAACTGATAGGCTTGGATGGGGCCAGTAGGGTCTGCTGTAAGCAACAGAGAAGAGGTCGGCTGGCTAACTAGAGGCAAGGACTTAGACCTTTTTTTAGGAGGAATCCCTTGGAGGGCAGGATTGCTATTCTGGAGGGAGTACTTCAGAGAGTACTTGGCTGTAATATAATTGGTGTGAATAAGGAACAAGTTCTAGGAGGAGCCTTTAGCTGAGAAACACGCACCTTGAATTTTCCAATATATTTCTACCATAAATTTGCTCTGTAACCATGAGAAAATTAATCTAGTTACATCTTAGTTTTTATCTCTGTAACATTAAGGACATTTTCTAGATCAGTAATTTGTTGTTTTTGTTTTGTTTTGAGATCTGTTTTCAACTCTGTCAACAGGCTGGAGTGTAGTGGCGTGATGATAGCTCACTGCAGTCTTGAACTCTTAGACTCAAGGGATCCTCTTTCTACAGCCTCCTGAGCAGCTGGGACTACATGGACGCACCACCCAGCTAATTTTTAAATTTTTTTCGTACAGGCAGTGTCTCACTATGTTGCCCAGGTTGGTCTGGACACAAACACCTGGCCCTAGACCAGTAATTTGTATCAAAATAACTTAGGGTTGGATGTGGTGGCTCGTACCTGTAATTCCAGCACTTTGGGAGGCCTAGGCCACAGGATCGCTTGAGGCCAGGAGTTAGAGACCAGCAGGGGCAATGAAGAAAGACCCTGTCTCTACAAGAAAAAAAAAAAGCTGGACGTGGTGGCATGTGCCTGTAGTCCCACCTACTTAGAAGGCTGAGCGAGGCCCAGTCTCTTCCTCTTTCTCTTTTTTTTTTTTTTTTGTTTTAAGAAGGAATTTCACTCTTGTCGCCTAGACTGGAGTGCAGTGGTGCAATCTCAGCTCACTGCAACCTCCTCTTCCCGGGTTCAAGCGATTCTCCTGCCTCAGCTTCTGGAGTAGCTGGGATTACAGGTGCCCGTCACCGTGCCCGGCTAATTTTTGTATTTTTTTTTAGTAGAGACGGGGTTTCACCATGTTGGTCGGGCCGATCTTGAACTCTTGACCTCAGGTGATCTGCCTTCCTCAGCCTCCCAAAGTGCTGGGATTACAGGCATAAGCCACTGCGCCCAGCCTCTCTCTCCTTTTTTGGAAACAGGGTCTCACTCTGTCACCAAAGCTGGAGTGCAGTGGTTCTATCTCGGCTCACTGCGACATCTGCCCTCCTGGGCTCAAGCAGCCCTCCTGCCTCCAGCTTCTCAGTAGCTGGGATTATAGGCATGTGCTACCATGTCTGCCTAATTTTTGTTTTGTTAGTAGAGACGGGGTTTTACCATGTTGCCCAGACTGGTCTGGAACTTCTGTGCTCAAGTGATCCACCTTCTTCATCTTCTCAAAGTGCTGGGATTACAGGTGTCAGCCACTGCACTCAGCTCCTCTTAAAAAAAAATTTGGGAGTGCTTTCTAATTATTTATTTATTTAATTAATTAATTATTTTTGAGATGGGAGTTTCACTCTTGTCGCCCAGGCTGAAGTGCAATGGCGTGATCTCAGCTCACTGCAACCTCCGCCTCCTGGGTTCAAGTGTTTCTCCTGCCTCAGCCTCCCAAGTAGCTGGGATTACAGACATGTGACACAACGCCCGGCTAATTTTGTATTTTTAGTAGAGACGGGGTTTCTCCATGTTGGTTAGGCTAGTCTCAAATTCTCGACCTCAAGTGATCTGCCCGCCTCAGCCTCCCAAAGTGCTGGGGTTACAAGCACCTGAGTAAGTATTTTTTTGTTTGTTTGTTCATTTGTTTTTGAGACGGAGTCTCGTTTTGTTGCCAGGCTGGAGTGCAGTGACATGATCTGGGTTCACTTCAGCCTCCGCCTCCGTGTTCAAGCGATTCTCCTGCCTCAGCCTCCCGATTAGCTGGGACTACAGGCGTGTGCCACCACACCCAGCTAGTTTTTGTATTTTTAGTAGAGACGGGGTTTCACCATGTTCGCCAGGATGGTCTCCGTCTCTTGATCTTGTGATCTGCTTGCCTCGGCCTCCCAAAATGCTGGGATTACAGGCGTGAGCCACCGCACCTGGCCAAGTAACTGTATTTATTTATTTATTTTGAAACGGAGTCTCGCTCTGTCACCCAGGCTGGAGTGCAGTGGTGGGATCTCAGCTCACTGCAGCCTCCAGGTTGAAGCGATTCTCCTGCCTTTGCCTCCTGAGTAGCTGGCACTACAGGTGCATGCCACCACACCTGCCTAATTTTTTGTATTTTTAGTAGAGACGGAGTTTCACCGTGTTAGCCAGGTTGATCTTGATCTCTTGACCTCGTGATCTGCCTGCCTCAGCCTCCCAAAGTGCTAGGATTACAGGCGTGAGCCACCGCGCCTGGCTGAGTAACTGTATTTTTAAATATTTTTACTGATGGGTGGGCATGCTGGCTCACACCTGTAATCCCAGTACTTGGGAGGCTGAGGTGGGAGGATTGTGTGAGCCCAGGAGTTCAAGACCAGCCTGGGCAATATAGCAAGACCCTATCTCTACAAAAAGTTAAAAATTAGCTAGGTGCGGTGGTGTGCCCTGTAGTCCCAGCTACTTGGGAGGCTGAAGTGGGAGGATCGCTTGAGCCCAGGATGTCGAGGCCGCAGTAAGTTATGATCATGCTATTATATTCCAACCTGGGAGACAGAGTGAGACCTTGTCTCAAAAATAGTAAAGTTATAAAAATGTGTTTTTCAGCTCATGGTAAAGCTGCTTTTCTATATGATCTCCAAGAACTTTGCAGTCATCCTTATTGATTTCCTGATTTCAGGAATAGAATGGCAATACTAGCTACCATTTATTTAGTGCTTACTGTGTACCAGGTAGTTGACTGAAGTACTTTTCAGCCTTTTTGTTATTTAACCTTAGCAACAACAATGGGAGATGTGTGGATTGTCTTCGTCTTATAGAAGAGGAAGTAGAGATTCAGAATGTTTTAAGTAACTTGCCCCAAATCCCCCAGCTAGTAAGTGGTAAGTCAAGATTTGAACTCAGATCTACTTGTCTTCAAATCTGGACTCTAAATGACTTCCACTCATAAGTCTGGATCATCTGATGGATGCCACTAGTGCTAGAGATAGTTTAGTGGACTCCTCAGGAAGAGTGAAAGCTGAAACTGAGGAAGGGAGAACTAAAGTTGTCACCTCCTGCCATTGCTTTTCAGAATGGAATCCAGACAAATAAGCCAGCTTTGCGTGCTGTCCGACAACGCAGTGAATTCACCCTCATGGCCAAGTGAGTTGAGAGAAGCTTTCTGGTGGGGTGCTACAATGTCTGAAGAAAAGTAGACTTGCGATCAGTGGCCTTGGCTGTGAAGTCTGGGGTTGGTTGTGCTGGAGCTTATGTGGGAAAAGGTCTCCTGCCCTTTCCCACAGTCTCACTAGTGGTCATTTGCAGGCGCATTGGGAAAGACCTTAGCAACACATTTGCCAAGCTGGAGAAGCTGACAATCTGTGAGTGTTCTTGGGGTCTTTCAGAAGTGGGGCAGTAAATCAAAGAGGAGTGAGGGCTATATTCCCTGAGTTTTGTCGTTGACCTCACCCATTGTGGCTTCTTGTTTGTCTCTGTAGTGGCAAAGCGCAAGTCCCTCTTTGATGATAAAGCAGTGGAAATTGAAGAACTAACATATATCATCAAACAGGTGAGCTACTAGCCATCAGGAGAGCCCAGCATTCCAATCAGATCACTTCTGTCTTCCTGTCATTTTCCATTGCCATGGGGACCCAGAGCAAGTTTCTTTTTTTAGAGAGGGGGTCTCACTGTGTTGACCAGACTGGAATGTTGTGGTGTGATCCTAGCTCACTATAGCTGTTAACTCCTGGGCTCAAGCTATCCTCCAGCCTGAGCCTCCTGAGCGGTTGAGACTATAGGGACATGCCCTCATACCTGGATAATTTTTTTTTTTTTTTTTGAGACAGAGTTTTGCTCTTTTGCCCAGGTGGGAGTGCAGTGGTGTGATCTTGGCTCACTGTAACCTCCACCTCCCAGGTTCAGGCTATTCTCCTGCCTCAGCCTCCCCAGTAGCTGAGACTACAGCCACCTGCCACCAATGCCTGGCTAATTGTTTTCTCTTTAGTAGAGAAGGGGTTTCACCATGTTGGCCAGACTGGTCTCAAACTCCTGACCTCAAGTGAGCCGCCCACTTCGGCCTCCCAGAGTGCTGGGATTACAGGTGTGAGCCACTGCACTCAACTGTAATAACTTTATTTATTTATTTATTTATTTATTATTATTTTTTGAGACAGAGTTTCACTCTTGTTGCCCAGGCTGGAGCACAGTGGTGTGATCTCAGCTCACCACAACCTCTGTCTTCTGGGTTCAAGTGATTCCACTGCCTCAGCCTCCTGAATAGCTGGGCACATGCCACCGTGCCCAGCTAATTTTGTATTTTTAGTAGAGGTGGGGTTTCTCGATGTTGGTCAGGCTGGTCTCAAACTCCTGACCTCAGGTAGTCCGCCCACTTCAGCCTCCCAAAGTGGTGGGATTACAGGCGTGAGCCCCAGCGCCAGGCCAATAATAACTTTTCTTTTCTTTTTTTTTTTTAAAGACGGTGTCTTACTCTGTTGCCAGGCTGGAGTGCAGTGGTGCGATCTAGGCCTACTGCTACCTCCACCTCCCAGTTTCAAGTGATTCTTTTGCCTCAGCCTCCCAAGTAGCTGGGACTGTGGGACTATAGGCATGCGCCACCACACCCAGCTAATTTTTTGTATTTTTAATAGAGATGGGGTTTCACCATGTTGGCCAGGATAGTCTCAATCTCTTGACCTCATGATCTGTCTGCCTTGGCCTCTCAAAGTGCTGGGTTTACAGATGTGAGCCACTGAGGAATTGTGTGTATAAATATAATTCTGTTGATGCCTCTTGAAGCTACAGTGCCTTTTACTCTTCCCTTTTCCTGAGTGCTGTCCAGGGGCTTTGTTGGTCATGCGCTAGACCCAAGATTTTGGCCTTTGAAAGGGTTCTGTGGCCAAGAGCATGGCCTCACAGAATGGAGCAGGGCAGTAGGCTGGAGGAGTAAACAAGTTATTTACAAATGGATGAAGGCCTACTTTGCCTCTTTCTAGCTCTTCTCTGCAGGAACTGAGCCAGAGCAAACACTAGACCTTGGAAAATCCTAGCAGGCCCATCTGGTCTGACTGTCTGGGATACTCTCACTCTAGCTAGTAACTTCCACCTTGCCCTTCCTACCAGAGATGGCCATCGGGAGAGATGCTGACTGAGGACTCCTTGGCTAATACTTTGTTTTTCCCTGGACTCTTTTATCAGGACATCAATAGCCTCAACAAACAAATTGCTCAGCTCCAGGATTTCGTGAGGGCCAAGGGCAGCCAGAGTGGCCGGCACCTGCAGACCCACTCCAACACCATTGTGGTCTCCTTGCAGGTGGGAGCTGGGGAGGAAGGGAAGGAGGCAAAGGGGAAGAATGTGGAGTCTTGTTTGGTTGACCGTCTCTCCTTTTCTTCTAGTCGAAACTGGCTTCTATGTCCAATGACTTCAAATCGGTTTTAGAAGTGAGGACTGAGGTGAGAACAATTTGCCTAGGAGGGATAGGAATATGGGGGTAAAGATCCAAGAGGAAATGGGGAAGGTACAGGTTCTACAGGGTCATGGGGCCAATGGTGGGAGTCTCTTTAACATGCCTGCTTTCTAGTGGCTTCAGGTCCTTTGCGTTTTTCCCCAACCCCAGAACCTGAAGCAGCAGAGGAGCCGGAGAGAGCAGTTCTCCCGGGCACCTGTGTCAGCCCTGCCCCTTGCCCCTAACCACCTGGGTAAGTCAGAGGTAAAACGGGAAGCCCCGGGAGGTAAGGTTACTTACTCTGGTTGTGATGGCATCCTCTGAAGGCACGGGTTGGGTAGGAGAGTGGAGGGTCAAGGAAGTTTCTAGGCTCTTATCTCTCAGAGGCCGAACCAGATGGTTGAGATTCGTGATCCACATTTAGACTCCCACATTCTCACTGTTGGGGTGAATTCAGTTGTATTCAGAAGAATGATAATTTCTAATTTTTTTCATACACTTACCTTTATTCACATTCTCTCATTTAATTTTCACAACCACCCTTTGAGAAAGCAACTATTATTATCCCCCATTTTACAGGTGAGGAAACTGAGGCTCAGAGAGGTTAAATGACCTGTCCAGGGTCACAAGGCTAGTAAGTGCCAGAGCTGGGATTCAAACCCAGAGCATGTGGGCTTTGAACCTGCTTTTAACTGTGAAGATGTGCCACGTCCTGTTTTCTCCCCAGGGGGTGGTGCTGTGGTTTTGGGGGCAGAGTCCCATGCCTCCAAGGATGTCGCCATCGACATGATGGACTCTCGGACCAGCCAGCAGCTGCAGCTCATTGACGAGCAGGTACCCAGGCTCTGAACTAGGGAGAATCAGCTTCTCCATTATCCTCTGTGGTTCCCAAGAGAGTGTTTGGAGTGTGCCATGGGCAGAATGGCAAGCAGGGAGGGCTGTAAAGATGCAGGTCTGACCCTGAAGAAGCTGATGGTGCTCATGTGCTCTCTCCCTCTCCTGAAGGATTCCTACATCCAGAGTCGGGCAGACACCATGCAGAACATTGAGTCGACAATTGTTGAGCTGGGCTCCATCTTTCAGCAGTTGGCACACATGGTTAAGGAACAGGAGGAAACCATTCAGAGGTGAGACATACTCTCTCACCCCAAACAGAGGAGCTTTCTCTTCCCCGTAGATTGGCATCTTAAAGTCCCCAGGGACTGCTTGATGCCCTTTGGAAGATAGAGTGAATTCTGCCCACCCATGGGACCCAGTTCACCTGCTTCCGTCCACCCAACAAGTATTTATTGAGCACCTGTTCATGTGAGGCGCTGTTCCAGGTGCGGGAGATACAGCGGCAAATAGGACAGTAAAGTCTCTCTGGAGCTACTTTGTAGCATGTGTAAGTGTCTAGAATTTGATAGGACAGATGAGGACAGCTGTGGAAAAGAACTGACAAGGCTGGCATAGTGGCTCACACCTGTAATCCCATAGGCAGCATTTGGGAGGCCGAGCAAGGCAGATCGCTTGAGTTCAGGAATTCAAGACCAGCTTGGGCAACAAAGTGAGACCCTGTCTCTACAAAAAAATACAAAAACTAGCTGGGCATGGTGGCACGGGCCTGTAGTCCCAGCTACTCAAGAGACTGAGGTGGGAGGATGGCTTGAGCCTGGGAGGCAGAGGTTGCAGTGAGCCAAGATCATGCCGCTGCACTCCAGCCTGGGCGACAGAGCCAGATTCTGTGTCAAAAAATAAAAATAAAAATTGACCAACAAAATTTCAGGTAGTAATGAAGACTGTATACAGAGTTAAAGTAGGATGATGTGTTAAGAAAGTAATGGATGGGTACCGTGGCTTACACCTGTAATTCCAGCACTTTGAGAGGCCCACACAGTCACCTGAGCTAAGGAGTTCGAGACCAGCCTAGGCAACATGGTGAAACCCCATCTCTACAAAAATAAAAAAATTAGCTAGACGTGGTTGCATAGGCCTGTGGTTCCAGCTACTCGGGAGGCTGAGGTGGGAGGATGACTTAAGCATGGGAGGTTGAGGCTGCAGTGAGTCATGATGGAACCACTGTGCTCCAGCCTGAGTGACAGAGCGAGACTCCATCTCAAGAAAAAATAAGGAAGTGACTAAGGTATATCAGATTGTGTGGCAGGGAATGCTGCTCTGAAGACACCACATTTAAGTAGAGACTTGAATGACAAGAGGGATCCAGCCAGGCAAAGAAGAGAGAGTGAGTGTTCTCGGCTGAGTGGACAGCTAGAGCAAAGCCTTATAATGGGACGGTCTAACTATACGCAAGAATCAAGAAGGCCTGCATGGCTAGAAAGTAATGAACAGGGATAGAGAAGTACAGGGTGTACTGGAGGGATGTAGGCAGAGGCCCAACAATGGGCTGGCCTCTCTGTTCCTCTGGTGTCTCCTGCTACTGTAAGAGGTTTTATCTGCTCCTCCTCTGTGGTGCTTAGCATTCAGTCAGTCAGTTATGGGAAATACAGCAGTGGACAGAAGAGACAAAATCCTTGCCCTTATGGAACGTGTATCCTAGTAGGGAGATAGATGTGAAAAAGTCATAATAAATAAATAGTATGTTTAAAAACAAGTCATAAATGCAAAAAAAAAAAAAAAAAAAGAGTCAACACAGGATAAACTAATCAGGAGTGCCAGGTTTGGAGGGAGGTAGGCCTTATTAAGAAGGTGGCATCACACTTGGGAGAAGGTGAGGAAGTTAGGTACATAGACTCTGGCAAAGACCTCCAGGTGACAATATATCTGATGAGTTAACGGACAGCAGAGACTACTGCAGCTGGGATCAGTGAGGAAGAGAGTTGTACAAGGTGTGGTCAGAGGGGAACTGGTGAGACCTCTTGGGACCATTGGTAGGCCTTAGCTTTTATTCCAAGTGACATAGGGAGCCATTGCAGGGTTTTGTTTTTGTTTCTGTTTTTGTTTCAGACAGAGCCTTGCTCTGTCGCCCAGGCCGGAATGCAGTGGCACGATCTTGGCTCACTGCAACCTCCGCCTCCTAGGTTCAAGTGATTCTCATGCCTCAGTCTCCCTAGTACCTGGGACCACAGGTGTGCACCGCCATGGCCAACTACATTTTGTATTTTTAGTAGAGACGGAGTTTTGCCATGTTGGCCAGGCTGGTCTTGAACTCCTGGCCTCAAATGACCTGTCCTCCTTGGCCCCCCAAAGTGCTGGGATTACAGGTGTGAGCCATCACAACTGGCCAAATACATTTAACTTTATTTATTTTATTTATTTATTTTTTTTTTTATTTTTATTTTTGAGATAGAGTCTCACTCTGTTGCCAGGCTGGAGTGCAGTGTTACAGTCTCGACTCACTGCAGCCTCTGCCTCCTGAGTTCAAGCGATTCTCCTGCCTCAGTCTCCTGAGTAGCTAGGACTGCAGGTGTGTGAGACTATGCCCAGCTAATTTTTGTATTTTTAGTAGAGACAGAGTTTCACCATGTTGGCCAGGATGGTCTTAATCTCTTGACTTCATGATCCACCCACCTCAGCCTCCCAAAGTGCTGGGATTACAGGCATGAGCCACCATGCCCAGCGTTAAGTTTACTTTTATTTATTTATTTATTCTTGAGGTGGAGTTTCTCTCTTGTTGTCCAGGCTGGAGTGCAGTGGCACCTCTCGCCTCACTGAAACCTCCAGGTTCAAGCAATTTTCCTGCCTCAGCCTCCCGAGTAACTGGGATTACATGCACCCACACCACGCCCAGCTAATGTTTGTATTTTTAGCAGAGATGGGGTTTCACCATGTTGACCAGGCTGGTCTTGACCTCCTGACCTCAGGCAATCCATGCACTTCGGCCTCCCAAAGTGCTGGGATTGCAGATGTGAGCCACTGCACCTGGCCACATTTAACTTTAAAACAAAAATTATAATAGCATATACTCTGGGATTTATAAGGTACGTAGATGCAACAAATTTAACCATAGAATAAAGGATGAAGCAAGAGGGTTTCAAGATTTTGACAGGTTTTTTTTTTTGTTTTTTGTTTTGAAATGGAGTTTTGCTCTGTTGCCAGGCTGGAGTGCAGTGGCTCAATCTCAGGTCACTGCAGCCTCCGCCTCCCAGGTTCAAGTAATTCTCCTGCCTGAGCCTCCCGAATAGCTGGGATTATAGGCGCCCGCCACCACGCCCAGCTAAATTTTGTATTTTTAGTAGAGACGGGGTTTCACCATGTTGGCCAGGACGATCTCAATCTCTTGACCTCATGATCTGCCTGCCTTGGCCTCCCAAAGTGCTAGGATTATAGGTGTGAGCCACTGTGCCTGGCCGATTTTGACAGTTTATATAAAGTAGGCTGTGAAAAGTTCATAAGGTATATTGTCATCCTTAGAGCAACCACTGAAATAAACTCAACAATGACATATAGCAAGAAGAGCAACAACCAAATTGAAATGGAAATAGAATTTTAACCAAAATTTCAGTTAATTCAAAAGAAGGACAAGAGAGGATAAACAGAGAAACAAAAAATAAAAGAGAAAAATAGAAAATAGTGCCGGGCGTGGTGGCTCACACTTGTAATCTCATCACTTTGGGAGGCCGAGGTGGGCGGATCACAAGGTCAGGAGATGGAGACCATCCTGGCTAACACGGTGAAACCTCGTCTCTACTAAAAATAGACAAAAAATTAACCAGGCATGGTGGCGGGTGCCTGTAGTCCCAGCTACTTGGGAGGCTGAGGCAGGAGAATGGCGTGAACCCAGGAGGTAGAGCAGTGAACTGAGATCACGCCACTGCCCTCCAGCCTGGGCAACAGAGCGAGACTCAGTCAAAAAAAAAAAAGGTAAAATGGCAGCCCTAAATCCAGCCTTATTAAAAATTACGTGTGGCCTCAAGTGAGCTCCCCGCCTTGGCCTCCAAAAGTGCTGGGATTACGCATGTGAGCCACCATGCCTGGCCAGATTCTGTCCCTTTTTTTTTTGAGACAGAGTCTCACGGTGTCATCCAGGCTGGAGCGCAGTGGCGCAATCTCGGCTCACTGCAAGCTCCGCCTCCCGGGTTCATGCCATTCTCCTGCCTTAGCCTCCCGGGTAGCCGGGACTACAGGTGCCCGCCACCATGCCTGGCTAATTTTTTTTTGTATTTTTAGTAAAGACGGGGTTTCACCATGTTAGCCAGGATGGTCTCGATCTCCTGACCTTGTGATCCGCCTGCCTCGGCCTCCCAAAGTGCTGGGATTTACAGGTGTTGGCCAATTCTGCCCATATTTTAATCTCCATCCCAGACCACTCTCCTAAACTCCATATATCCATATTCCTGTTCAACATCTCCACTTACTGGCCTGGGAGTGGTGGCTCATGCCTGTATTCCTAACATTTTGGGAGGCTGAGGCAGGTGGATCATTTGAGGTTCAGCAGTTTGATACCTGCTTGACCAAAATGGTGAAACCCCATCTCAACTAAAAATACAAAAAAAAAAAAAATAGCTGGGCATGGTGACACATGCCTGTAATCCCAGCTACTCAGGAGCCTGAGGTGGTAGAATCACTTTAACCCTAGAGGTGGAGGTTGCAGTCAGCCGAGATCGTGCCATTGCATTCTAGCCTGGGCAACAAGAGCAAAACTCTCAAAAAACAAAAACACAAGCTGGGTGTGGTGGTGCACTTCTTGGTCCCAGCTACTGCGAAGTCTGAGGCAGGAGGATCTGAGCCCCGGGGGCGGAGGTTGCAGTGAGCCGAGATTGCGCCACTGCACTCCAGCCTGGGTAACCGCAACACCCTGTCTCCAAAAAAAAAAAAAAAAAAAAAAAGGTATTAAAAAGTTAAATGTATTTTAAATAAGAGGAAGACATGGTAATGGTACTCACATATTTACCATCTTCACTGTTCTTCATTCCTCCTTGAATAGATCTAAGTTTCCCACTGGTATCTCTTCCCTTTATCCTGAAGAAGCACTTCCTTTGGTATTTTTTTTTGTAGTGGAGATCTGCTGACAACAATTTCTTTCAGTTTTCTTTCATCTGAAAAGAAAACAAATCTTTTTCACTAAATCAAAACTAAACTTTTTTCACCTTCATTTTTTTTTTTTGAGGCAGAGTCTCACTCTGTTGCCCAGGCTGGAGTGCAGTGGCGCGATCTCGGCTCACTGCAAGCTCCGCCTCCTGGGTTCACG